ATATATATATATATATATATATATATTTCATATTCAATCTTAAAAAATAATTGTTAGAGTTTGGTATTTGCATGGAGGAAATAGACAGTTAGATTAGGGTTAAAATTTGTTAGCGAGGAACTAATACTTCGTAAAATCGTAAGACAGTTTATATCTATAAATATATATATATTTATACTTATACCAACATACAATTATTTATATTATACTATCATATACTATTTTTTTTAGCGAGTATTAATTCTATACAAAATTTATTTCAAGACTCTATCTATTATCATTTATTTATTGTCTTGTTTTTGAGCGAGTATATTAATTCTATACAAGATATCAAGACCCTATCTATTATCATTTATTTATTGTCTTAACTGCCAACACACCTTCAAACAGAATCTCTAATTTTCACACCAGTCCTGCACACAGAGTCTCTAATTTCCAAGTTTTAGCACACAGAATCCCTAATTCTATACAAGATTTATATCAAGACTATCTATTACTCCCTCCTATTTTTTTTAAATGTCATTCTAGCTTTATCAACTATTTGCCAAATAAATGTCGTTTTGGATCTTTTGTACATATTTTTCCATTATTACCCTCATTTAGCCAATAAATACATTACGTCTTTTCATATTCACTCTTCACTTTTTCTCAAAACATTCATCTCTATCTTTATTAAATAAAGTTATTATTGACAAAAAAAAAAAATATTTTTAATTAGTGTGCAACTTCTCAAAACGAAGGTTATTATTGACAAAAAAAAATATTCTTAATTAGTGTGCAACTTCTCAAACCGACATATATTAAAAATATAGGAGGTAGTATCATTTATTTATTGTCTTAACTGCCAACACAGTCTTGGCACACAGAATCTCTAATTTCCACACCAGTCCTGCACACAATCTCTAATTTCCAAGTCTTAGCGCACAGAATTCCTAATTTCCACACCAGTTCTGCACACAGAGTCTCTAATTTCCAAATCTTTAGCTGACCTACTTATATTCATTTTGAGGAGCATTTCAATGACGATTAAATCATTTATACATATTATTATATTGACTGATATATTATTTATTATAATAATATAACACTGTATCACAATATGCTTCGACTTTATGTCTATTATTTAATCTATACTATTATTGTTAATGGACGGTTCTATCTAGGCAATGGACGATGAAGATAAGGTTACAAATATTTTATTATATTAACTCTCATTACAATGCTCTATATATTATCATTATAATATGACACTTTCCTACAACCCTCACCTTCCTACAAGCCTCTGTCACTATGTATGCTTCAATATTGATATCTTTTTCCAGGGTATTTCCCGGCTAAATGTGGAGTTACGTGTTGCAATTACATACTTTCACGATGCATCTCATATTAAAAAAGAAAATATGACATTTTACAGTATATTTTTCATGGATCGACCTGATGAATAATTAGACAATTTCAGACAAGATTTTGTACAAATGAAATCACATCCCGTTATTATGCATTTTTTTTTCTTTTTTTATGCTAATGTGAAACTTCAAAAGATCTATTAATTGTGTTCGTTTGTCACAATCAAGTATAAACAGATAGACAAAACAAGCTAGTTTAAGAGGCCTTTGAGGCAGTAAACAATTTTATTTGTTAATAGTATGTATAGTATATGTGTCCTGTTATGATAATATGGTTACATAAAGTAATCTACTATTTGCTTTATTTGAAACATAAATCAAAATATAGTAATTATAAAAATAAATTAAAATAACCAAAACTGATATTAAACTTGAGTTTCAATATACGTGTACTTACTATAAAATATATAGTTACAATTAAAATTAATTAAATAAAAATAAAATATATTTACTTTAAATTTATTGTCATTAGCCAATATTATGTATAAAAACATTCACAAATTAAATGTTTGAAATCTATCAACTATAATTTCCAAATATCATATTTTTTTTTTCTTTGTCGAAACGATAGAACTTTTTTCCTCCTAATGAAATTTTATATGTTAGAAAAAATATTT